TCATGCACTTGCTATATAGAAGCGATAACGGATGGTTACCCAGGTGTTGTTCACCACAATCGTCCAAAATACTTAAGCGGAAAGCGAACAAAAGCGTAATAGTTCTGCTATAGGCAAAATCTGTAGCAGAATAATCTGGTATTTGGGATCAAAGCCTGTCCGCACCCTACATGATCATTTTGTAAGGAAATCTTCCCATCCGAAGGCGTAATTAGCCGATTGTACATGAAAGAAGAGTGTTTCCGTGTGTGGGTCAAAGGACCTTCACAACTTCGTGGTCCGAGGCCTCAACATCACCAGGCTGATTTTGCGGTACTGTCTTGTATAATTACTGATATTACAGGCAATTGCTATGTACGCATAACTCGCCTCTTTACTAAAACTGTTTGGATCTAGGCCATCCAATTGGGGATGGCGTGACCATCTCTATGAGCACCTTTATCTATAGTGACGTCATAAGCTTTCAAATCAACTCATCTTTGCACTGTGCCATAAAATATTTGACGCATATGCCTAAAATAATAAGACATGTTAACCGATGAGAATTAGCGACTTTATGTGACCCAAGTACAGCCGTGAGCCCTAAGTCTCATCGGTCAAAGAGTTATCCGAACTGCATTAAACCAAGCCTCAAGCATGAAGCTTACTTCAAACATATTTGTGCGTGAATAAAGACGCATCTAGGTGCGAAAATTCTCTGCGAGGTGTATATACAAGGGACAACCAAAGCTAGTCACGACCACAGCGAGCATCAGCAAAGACGGGGAAGCCCCGTAAATGTAAAGGTTGGTTAAAGGGGGTGTGCTTGAAAAATCGATTGGTCATCGCCAGCTTAAGCATCATCACAATTAAAAGTTTATAAAACTTTGAACAGGGATTGCTTTGGTCGTATGCCGACGGTTGTCGGGAAATAAATATCGTGACAAAGCTAACTTGATCGTATATATATATATATGTATATGTATATATGTATATATGTGTGCCCTTGATGACGCATGTAAAACAACATCCGATCATGCACTTGGTGATAACATGGCTTAGCGACACATTCGAAATCTTTAGGATCCGTGGGAACTTTATGGAGGAATGAGTGCATAGATTAGGCGCGCTACGAT